GCACTAATTATTTGTTTAACTATATCTAAGCCTAAGACGTGTCTAATTTAGTTTAGGTTATAATACTTACACACAGTTATATTAAACTATTTAGTCTATAGACTAGATCCTATTAACCTTTAGTTAACTAAAGCCTTTAGGTTTAGAACTTCCTATCTCTATGCAATTAGGATTGCCTTTAGAAAAGTTATAAAAAATGCGCTAAGGTAGAAACTTAGAGACTACTAATAACTTATTAGGATTAGAGACAACTGCTAATGCCTAACTTTTAACCTCTAACTACTAACCACTACTTTGTTAACAGCTAAACCTGCGTCTGCAGGACCTAAAGCTAGACCCACTTAATTTAGAGTTAACCCCTAGCAGTATATCTATGCTTAACTACAAGCACAGCTTAAGCAGCTAATCCACTAAAACACTGCTAGGCTACTACTAAATTACCCCTAATAATGCCTTAAATTACTACTGCTACTCTATAGTAAGAGACCTTTAAGGCACCTCTAACAACGCCTAAATGTCACTTTACTAAACGCACGCCTAAAATTAATAACTGCATAGATAGCAAAGAACAATAGCAAGCTTTAGTTCTTAACAGGCTAGACATCTATACAGATCACTATTAGAACAGGCGCGCACGCATGGTGTTTGGTTTGGAGGACACCGTTGGCAGTGCGAAGGAATACTTGGCAAGGACACCTAGCTAAATTAGACTAGTTTTAGTTTAAGAAGGCAGAGGACATGACAGCGATACTTTGTACTATAATTACTACTAATAGAGACTATTAGTCTACAGAGAGAGGGGGTAGTGTAACAATTCTTGTTCTATTTTAGGTCGCCTAGAACCTATCTAAAGGGTCCCTGTATTAGCTCTAACTCTAACTTAATTCTTATAAATTGTTAGGTCGCCTGGAACCTCTAGAAGGCCCCCGTATCAGCCCCGACCTCGACCTGGCCCCAACTATGCCCTGCCCCCTGCTGTTACCCCTATTCCCTTATGTATTTAGTCGCACCTCGCCTCTGTAGCTAGCTTAGTAGTTTTCTGATATCCTTTTGTACAAGGCCATAGGTGTTAATAGCATTCCTAGGTTCAGAGTCCCCACGCACTCCTATATGCCTCTAAGTGGACTCCTACTGCATTTAGACCTATTGTCTTGCCTGCGCTGTTACAATTAAGAGGCTATAGAAAGTGCAATAAGTGTAAAAGCATATAAATAGTAATAATCTTATTTTTTTTATAGTACTGCTAGAAATTAAGTAAGTTATAGCTTTTATAGCTATTAATAATAAAAAGCTAATAAGCGCTTATAACCCTTTTTTTTATATGCTTATTAAAGTGCTTTAACTACTGCAGCCTAAGCTTATTTATTATCTAGCTGTTTTTAGAGACTATAATAACCTAGTTCTAAAGCAGATTTTTTTTATACTAGGCAAAGAGGTAATAGCAGCCCTTAAAGATAATTAAAAGTAGAATAGCCTACCTTATTATGTTAATACTCTAAATAACTATTATCTACTTTCTATTACCTTACTATATTACCTTTAGCTGTCCTTATTTCTTTAAAGCTATAATAACTACTCTAGTTAATATCTAGCCTATTATAAAGCCTAACTTATTAAAGTTATACATGTCTTTATTCTAAATACTATACTTAGCTTTTATATTAGCTACTAGGTAAAAATAGCTCTAGATAACCTTTAGATCTTTATAAAGTGCTTTTTTATAATTATACTTATAATTAAACTTTATTATAAACCTAGGGCAGTAATTAACTTATATACTAGGCTAGTTTAAGCTAACCTAGCCTAGATTACACTCTGCGCGTAAGGAATTAGCTATATTAGCTATAGCTGTAAGCTTAAAAAGAAATCTGTAGATAATAAGCTTAAGTATATACTTAACAACTACCTTTTTTTTAAGCTTAGTTAGATTTTTTAATTTAGGCTAGCATTCTACTTCTAAAGGCTGTCTAGCGCGTTAATTGCTTAGTGTTGTGTAAAAGACATTATAAATAGCTGCAGCGTGTTGTAAGAAGAGTTTTAAGTTTTATTTAAAAGCTTAAAAAGTAAGCTGTATCTAACATTCTTTAGAAAATTTAATCTAGTGTTGTTGTTAAGGCATTATGTAGATAGGTAGAGTGTGGTAGGGGCTTAGCAAAAGTAGCTAGCCAACCTGTGTGGCCGGCCAACCCGTTAGGTACGTTAACTTTAATTTTTTTTTAAATATTTTATATAAGGTACTAGTAGTAAATGCTAATATACTTAGGCATTATTGTTAAGTTTAAAGATAATTTATTAATAATACTTATAGTTTATAACATACTCTATAGGTTGTAACGGCACAGGCAAGACAATGGGTCCGAATGCGGTGGGAATCCACTCAGAGGCATATGGGAGTGCGTGGGGACTCGGAACCTGGGAATGCCATTGACACCTATAGGCCTTGTACGAAAGGATATCAGAAAACTACCAAGCTAGCTACGGGGGCGAGGTGCGACTAAATACATGAGGGAATAGGGGTAACAGCAGGGGTCGGGGCCAGGTCGGGGTCGGGGCCGATACGGGGGCCTTCCGGAGGTTCCGGGACGCCCGAGATGGAACGATTCATGAGAATCGTTACATAGGTGAGTTACTTACACACTTAAGTTGCTGACTTTACTAAGACTACACTGAACTACTTTTCTTACACTAATGCACTTCTAATAGCACTACTTAGGGCAGGGGGCAGTGCAGGGTCGGGGCAAGGTCAGGGTCGGGGCCGATACTAGGACCTTCCGGATCGGTTCCGGGCAACCCGAGATAGAACGATTTATGAGAATTGTTACAAAGTGTAATATTTTATTTAAAAGCTTCAAGCATAAGCTATGTCTAATATTCTTTTAGCATGTCTAAGTAGTGTTAGAAATGCATTAGTATAAAAAAAGTAGTGTAGTAAGGTCTTAGCAAAAGTAAACAACTTAGGTGTGTACACAACTTACTTATAGTGTATATTAACCTTTTATTACTAGGTATAGGGCTAAGACAGCACTTATGTGCAACAGGAATATATACTGTAAGGACGGGGCTCCGCACCACTCCGCCAATACAACCAAAAGGTACGAATAATCAACCAACGTTGATTTTCGGGTGCAGAATAGTATATATACCTGTCGCACGTAAGCGCCATCTCGGCCTTACATATACTATTCTGTACGTAGGTTAACTGTTGGTTGATTATTCGCACCTTTTCGTTGTATTGGCGCAGTGGTACAGAGCTCCGTCCTTGCACTAGGTGTTTTCTAACAGTAATAAAGGGTCTTAGAGAGAAAGAGGAGGTAAGGGAGAGAGTGTATAGTCCTTTGTACAATCTAGTTAGAAGTCTAGTAAGAGAGAAGGATAATAAAGAGTAAAATTCTACGGCGAGAATTGAATCAATTAAGCTTAAATAGATTCCACTACTAATCGTTAGCAACTCTATATAGTTTGACAAGCAAATACTCCCCCCATGCACAAGCCGGAACGGAATTGTACAACAACGCCTAAGCTAGGGCCGGAGCAGACGTAGATTTGATGAATACCCCTGCGAGAAGTAACGGGAATAGGGGCACAATTGAACTGTAAAGAAGACGGAGCGACTACGCAGCGTTTCGGCGTTGCTCGATGCTCTGGATCCGCATAATAAGCCTCCCCGCCTCTGTCTTGCTTCGATGCCTTTTCAAACGCTTCCACTGCCAATTTTCCCTTCCTCCTCTGCTCCTCTAGCGAGTGCGTGTATCAGAATCTCGAACATGATGCAGTAGAGCGACTATATAGTGTACCGGTGTAATTGCCGGCATAATTTCTGGCGTGATTGATACGAAAGTTCCCGATATTTTTATTGGTCGGAAAGATAGCAATGATGAATTTCGTACGTTACTCTTCTACATCTGTATATCGAAGCGTCCTTAATAACATCCTGGGATTTGAGGACTTGAGGTTAAAATGGAGCCGTGGCCGAAGCATTGCTGCATTAGTGCCAATGTTGGGGAAAGCTTATTCGGTTGACGAACCATCTCTATGCCTGGTGGTATATGAGCCATTCGAGTTCGGAACTGATGTTGCTCGAGAGCGGCTGCTGGTCTTATGAAGCACTGGCAGATGATAGCGTGCAACGAGTGGAAACACGAAGGGAAATTGGTTTCGCTACTTAAATACAACGAACGACTCGAGTAGGTTTCGACGACCTCGGGCGAGCACGGGCACTTGCAATTTAGGATGGAAGTCGTCGCGACATATATTGGCCCTTCATGTCGGATGAATTCCAGGGGATTCATGATATTTAGGTGTCGTCTCAAGGCTGCATGAAATATTTGGTATCTTATAGTCTCGAAGCCAAGTACATTGATTCACGATTATCGAGCAGAATTAGGTTAAGCAACTAACGATTAGCGTGGTGCTGAGTCGCTCCCGGCTCTGCGGGTGCATGCAAGGCTTTGACTCTCTGCTTGGGGCTGTGCAGCGGGCCCACGAGACAAACTGCCAACTGAACCAAAATAAGGTGTCGCTGCAAGGCTGAGCGAAAAGTATGCAGCCTTACATGATTATGTTCAATTATTAAGCTGGGTCGGGTCGCCATTCATCCTGCTCGTGTTACCGTGTCACCCCATGTCTGGGGTTTAGGTCTGGGGCTCCATGATGTTGGGAGCCAATAGTGGCCCGTGCAGGAGTTAAGCTTTAGAAAAGAAAATTCAAAATCCTAACGGTGGCATCGAAATATACGGATGATTGTTGCATGGGGAATAGTTGCCCATCGCACCTTAAAACGAGACCACACGTTAGCTATTGGAGCCCTCAGCGCGAACCTGCTTGGGGCAAGCTTCCCGATCGTTTCGCTCGAATTATTGCGACGAATCCTCGGAAACGACGGAATGGTCGATGTTATCTCCTTATCGATAAGGATTCAGATCATGTCAGCAGATGTCAGCAATGAAATTACGACATACATTATATCCTCCCTTCCCGAAAAGTGAGATTAACGGCGTCCGCTCTCCGGTCACCTAGCGCCGGGTTTTGGCACCCTCCCTTGTTCAACGGAGAATAAAGCATCTTGTACACGAGCATGTTTTGCCAAGCAATTCCGCCCTGCAGATCATCTCTCCAGCCGCTCGGAGGGCTCGCATAAAACACCCCGTTGCCAAGAATTCTCCCAAAAAAAATACGACAAAAGTGGGGCCCCCAGAGTAAGGCGGGCAACACAGCCTCGTTTCAGGTTCCATTGAAATTATCTGAAAATGCCACTTTCTGTGAACGAAGACTGCTCTCCATCTCATCCTAGCCGCCAGCACAACCCGTCGAGCCGGATGCGCATTGCTACCATTTATTAATTCGTGTGCAGATTAGCAATGCGCGATGCAGCCTACGAGTAAGCTTCCACCTCCATCTGGTGCCTTCCAGATAGGAGACATCTAACAAGCGCCAAAGCACCGAATATACCCTACTTGATTCAAACTCAAATATAGAGCTGGCTAATTTCCATTCGTCGCTGGGGGATGACAGTAAGGACAGATGGACTTCAAAGCCTTTACCAGCAGCACCCTCATGGAAACCTATCCATGCAGCAGAGCTACGTGATGGATGGCGCTTCGGTGCGTCTCTCGGTGCGGTCATGTCAGTTTGCGTTCTCCTGCTGAACATTTCCCTAACCATCTGGGGATCATTGCGGAGTTCGGCTAACGATGGACACATTTACCATGGGAACTGCAAAATGGCGAAGCAGCTTAACATAGGCATACACGTCATCATCAACCTTCTAAGCACTCTTCTCCTAGGTGCGAGCAATTATTGCATGCAATGTCTCTGCGCGCCGACTAGGAGGGACATAGAAATTGCCCATCGAGGGGGACGCTGGCTTGATGTTGGGGTCCAGAGCCTGAGGAATTTGAGATACATTCCCCCACTTAAGCGCTGGTTATGGCTGGTTCTTGGTCTTTCGTCTTTGCCGCTCCATCTCTTGTAAGTTACCTATCTCTATCTAATTAAACACCGCTGACTCGCTTGTGAGATTCAATTCCATGTTCTACGCAACACTTGTCAATCGCGATTACGACATCTACTTTGCTTCCGAGGACTGGCTAACTGGAGCCTGGTATGATTCATACAATCTTCCCGCCGGCGGTACCTATCGCATGATGGATGAAGTAAGATATAACTTCACGTCCAAGCCGGCCAATGGAACATTCACCACATATATGGTACCCTCCAACGAGACCGTCATCTACCGATCTGACCCTGCAAAGATCCAGTCTAGTATCATGCACGACGATGGTTCGCAGTTCGAAAGAATGGATCTCACAGCGTGCATTGATGCATATGCAAACTCATACATGACTGATCGTAGTAATGTGGTCCTGATTTCGGAACATTTGTATAACGATACAAGGGTTCCAAATAGTACCTACAGCTACAACGTCACCAGCAACTCCTCCCTGTACTGGGTAACATACAGCCATGATACAGCTCAACCATTATACAATTACCGCGACCCGTATGGCTGGATATGCGACCATTGGGCAGGAGAATCCACCGGTTGCAACAAGGCACAAGCTATTTCTAAGGCTGCTGAAGGAAATTGGACTGTGAACGGTTACAAGGTGTCCGGTTGTATGAGCCAGAAAGTTGAAGAAGTGTGTAGCGTCAACTTTACCCTCGCCATTGGAATCGTCGTCATTCTTGCCAACCTCGGGAAAACGGTCTGCATCGTGGCAGTCTGCTTCTTGTTGACTGATCAGCCCCTTATTACCATCGGTGATGCGGTGTCTTCATTCCTGCGTACACCGGATCGATCCACAAAAGGATGCTGTCTCTGGACCAAAGAGGATGTTCGAAAGCAGTGGCGGAATATCCGACGTTCTGGGTGGTCTGCAGCGCCAAAACAATTTGAACCGAAGGCTCAACGCCGCTGGAAAGTAGCGGGGGGTATGAGTTGGGCCGGCTTCCTGCTCCTGTATGTCCAAGACCTCTCCATCCCCATTTCATGCTAACTTTTTTCATCAGCTATTGCGCGTCCCTCCTCCTGGCCTTATTTCTTGTCATCTACGGCGTCACTAAACTTAAAACCTACGGCCAGGGCTCTTTCTCTGCTATTGCCAGTCTCGGCTTTGGCACTGCCACAACCAACACTGTAATTGCCGGAGACGGGTGGAAAGTGCCGAAAACAGGGACTCGGGGGATTATATCCAACGTACTCGTGGCCAACACACCCCAGCTCATCCTATCCGGTCTCTATCTCACTCTCAATAACCTCCTGACTCGTATGCAGTTAGCTGCAGAGTGGGCGAGCTACTCAGCCCACCGCAAGGCACTACGAGTCTCGCACGACCGCACCGGTGCCCAGCGTGCTACATACTTCCTTCAGCTGCCATACCGACTCGGTCTTCCCCTCATGGCAATATCCGCAACGCTGCACTGGCTTCTATCTCAGAGTATCTTCCTCGCCAGCATTGACACGTGGAACTCGCGGGGGGAGGCGGACGAAGCCGAGTCGGTGTCAACTTGCGGGTACTCGCCACTTGCAATAATATGCACCTTAATTGTCGGCGTGCTGGTTATTTTCTTTGCAATTGGTGTCGGATGGAGGAGGCTAGAAGGCTCTGGCATGCCTTTAGTTGGAAGTCATAGTGTTGGGATCGCTGCTGCGTGTCATCCGCCAAAGGATGGCAATGATGAAACCGAGCCATTGAAGTGGGGAGCGGTGACTACACTTGATCGTGAAGATGGGGCGCAGGTGATAGGCCATTGTAGTTTTGCGAGCTCTGCGGTCGACGTACCAGTCAGCGGAAGGTCGTACTTGTAGTAAGCGACGAATGTATTATTTTGACGTGCGAGTGTGTCTCGAAGGCGAGCGTTTTGCGTCATTATCTAACTTGACTATTAAACTCTTGAATATTTTTATTCGCTGCTGGATGCCAGCAATTCGCTCACAGGTCAATCCGCAGGCGTTCTTCTTTCAAAGACATTGTTTGCAGTCTCAGCGGTACTGTTCTAACATCCTCTAGTGTTGCGCTTCATCTCCATCTTCATCCTCGCCCTTCTCTATCCACGCTTCACGTTCACCTTTCACGCTCCACGTTCACCATTCACCACCCATTTTCACTCGGCTTTGAAAAACTTGTCCCTTCTCGCCTTGTAATTACAGTCCGGTTTACCTCGGATATGCTCCGAGTACAACACCCCTGGCACATCCTTCACCAGTTCACGTGACCCGCATCAGGGAACTCGTTTCTTATTGGGGACTAGTGCCTGCCTTGTTAGGACTAGCGCCATTTAATCTACTATCTCGTTGCCTCAGAGCTCTCTCTCGCTTTCTCGACTTTACATCTAAACTCAATCGAGCAAGTTTGGCTCTCGCCACCTAATTGACAGCTCGCGCCTCTATACGCCCTCCTCTATCATCCATCAGCTCCATAACCAGCCCTGCGATAGTTCCCACAGTCGCCACTTAGACGATCGTAGTGCGGACCCGGTCGGACAACTAACCTGATTGGGCAGCCGGACGCAACCGGGGCGAATAGTGTATCAGGCTATCCTAATCTAGACGTCGATCTAGTCTTATCATAGTCCTGGCAGCTGAATAGCGCTAAGATCGGGGTTAGTTAGTCGCATTCTAATAGGGGAGGCTCCGGGTGATTGGTCATTCAAGAGCATTGGGTTATCAATCATCTAGCAGTTCCTCGTTGTCCCTAGTCAGAGGCGATCCACTGCGCATTTATTTGTACATGATATGGTTTTGCCTAGTGTCGGTGACGAAGATGCTATCTCCTGGAGTAGTACCGTCTTACTACGCCGGGATCACCATTGATCTGTAGCAGTCAGCTCTGATGGTTCGTCACGCCAATGTTGGACTTCGAAGCCACAAACCTGTTGAAATACCCCATATCAAGAGGCAATACCTTAAGAACAGACATACGTTTTATCGTTGAAAATGGTAGCGCTGAATCTGGTTATAATCGTTCCATTGAGTGGGAGTAAGGCTACTGATCTTTGTGCCAATTTAGGCGCCAATTACCGCTCAAACACTCGAACTTCTCAGAGCTAACAATGCTTAGCCTAGACAAGCCAAGATGCATCCGCAGGAACCGACTGACAGATCCACCGGAGATCTCCATAACAATCTTGAACCCGGTGCAATTAAACCTAAGTCCTCAAAGGCAGCGGGCTCTTCCGGGATCCGCAGGATCTTTGCAGTTCTGACATACAGGCAGCATCATCTCTTGAAGTCTCGTATTTTGCCCCAAAAATATATTTAAGAAGTCCGAATGGTGAGCCTTCAGATTATTCTTCAATTCACTCGAGTATGGGGTCTGAATCGCTCGTCACGTCGGGCGTATCTGCAAAATTGCCAATGTTGACCGTCAGGCTGCTTACTAGAAAGGGGCAGTGGTCGATGGGGTGGCTACAGTCGTGAGTGTCGATTCCACAACTACGTTATGAACCTTCCTCTAGATAACAACATTCAATTTATTGTCGAGAGCGGCAGCGGCGAGGGTTACGGCACACCTCAAATTGAAGTCCTCGATGTTGGTAGCTAGGCTGAACCTTGAGAGACCGCTGAAGGAGGTTTTGACGCCCAGACTTGTTAACAAGCAAGTTTTTGGCTTTTTTAAGATCCAACCTGACTTGATTGACTACCTATTTGGGTTGGTGACCTTCCTGTGTTGGTTGAATGCGTCCTCAATAGGTACAGCGCTTTTCTCCGACAATGAACATGACTTGCTTGATAACATGTCTGTTGACGCCGCTGCTAGATTATAGAAGATAACAGACCGAAAAAGCTTGAAGTGCGATGACAAGGTGACAGCTGTAATCATAAAAGCCCGCATTCGTTAGAAGACATTACAACAAGTTTGACTCTCTTATCTTTGCTCCTCTCCGACCGAATACTGTAGTGGGACTGGAAGTGTTAACATCTTGAGAAAGGGTCGATAGGCTTCTGTTTTACTTATTGCTGATCGCGGTAGTAGTGTCAGAGCGATGAAGGGAGACTGACAATGCGCTTAGAAGGTCGATGCGAACGATAGTTAAAGAAGCGGGAGAAATCTATAAAGAACAAGAACTATCACTTATGAAAATGGTTGAATGTGAAGGGGCGAGTGTGGTAATAGCAAAAAATGGAAGAATGGAAAGACAAGGCCAAGTAGATTCTCTATGCCAGAGTTGAGCCAGGATTTTGCCATGAACCGCGATGTTCAGTAAAATGAACTGCGGAAATTCGTTAAGCGATGGCCTCGCAAGGAAGAAATACGCGCTAGCTTACCATAGACTAGCATAGTATTTCCACATTCATCTTCATCGGTATTCATCACACATTATGATAGCTCGTTGACTTGTACCGCGATTTCCAGACGAATGGCATAATGCCCAGCGGCAAATGAGGATGAAACACCTCCCTCATCAAGCATTCCTATCCTCCGGTCCGCCATTCTTGCCTCAGAATGGGGCCAACCAGCTACAAAGTTCAGACCCGCCTCAAACCAACATGCGACAGCAAAATGATCTACTGCAGAAGCCTAGAGCAAGAAGGCTCATGGTTAGCTATTCATCTCGGAGATTAATCAAGTTAATAGAGCTAGCTATCATATCCGGAACGCCCTCAGCTTTGCTCTCAGTCAATCCACAAGCTGATCAGGAAGTCGACCCAGCGCCTGTCATTGTCTTTTAACGCCGTATACTGGGAACATCTGTTTCAGACCCTGTTCTCCCCTCGGGGAATGTCCTGATTTTTCGGCGTTAGATGTGTGGGGCGCATCGTTGATTGGCTGACTCTGTAACCTGTGCCGCATTCCTGCAGAAACACCGCTAATAAACTCGAGGGCGCTTATCGATGTTTTCTATGTCTCGTGCAACATGAATCGGATTTCTCTTCGGTTTGGAATATATTTATACGCCGTCACCCACGACTCTCTTCGCGGCTCTAGAAGCCATGGTGACAAGGGTAAGTACTCCTGAAATCAACATTCATTTGACTGCGCTAAACCCCTGGCGTAGTATCTGCATCCAGAACATAGTTCACCTTCCGCAATCCCCACAATGTCGAATCAAACGCCCAATGCGTCAGTGAGCTCGACTTCTAGCCCTCCTGTTTTCACGCCGTCATCCACAACATTTACTTTCGGAGAGCAGCGTGCATCCAGCCCATCCTTCACTTTCGAAGGTCAGACTGTGTCCAATCGAGCGACTCCTGCCCCGGGTATTACGACGTCAGGAACATCTCGCTCTACACCGTCATCAACGCCGTTCACGTTGAGCGAAGAACGTGCATCCACACCATCTTTTATATCTAGCGGCCAGCCTAGATCCAATCAAGTGACCCCGGCCCCGAGTAGTACGACATCAGGAACACCCCGCTTCACACCATCACCGACACCATTTATGTTCGGCGAAGAGCGTGCATCGACGCCAACTTTCACGTTCCGTGATGACCATGATCCAGACAGGCCTTTACCATCGGTGGAGAGATATGTCTCATCGGCAAGCAGTAGCCAAAGTACTCCGAGCACAACCTTGTATACACCATCGACTTCAACGCACGCGGGTTCAACTCGACAGGCCCCGGATCAGGATGCCGTTCTACAACAAATTGGTGACCTTCATAACTTGAGACTCACGTCGCCTCAAACACCAGGAAGCTCCTCCTCTCAGCAAGGTACGCCTACGCCTTCAATCCATGTCACTCTGCCAGCGCCTCTGAATGAATCGAGCCAACCTCGAGCCAGAAGGACTGACAGCCTTGTCGGTGGCATCACGGCTCTGCACATAGAATCTCTTCAAGCAGATTCTCCAGGCACCTCGGGGCTGCGCGAGAGCCGCTCACCGTCTCCATCACGCCGTCGCCGCTCCGGATCCGGGATCAATAGGAATAGCCATCAAATCGAAAATGAAGACCCGCCACAGACCTTATTCTACATGCCAGAAGTTCAAGAGGCCCTTGCCAATGCAAGAACCTTGACGTCAAGAATGGCCAGCGTTCTTTCCAGTTCGAATTTGCACCGAGAAAATGGATCAAGTATTGAAAGCCTTCATCGACAAGCCACAAAACTAAATGGTTTTCAGCTACCATCGTCGCGGATTGTTGGCCTTGTTGGTGATTCAGGTGTAGGAAAGAGTAGTCTGATTAATTCCTTACTTGACAAGATGGAATTGGCCAGAGCGGTAAGTGATCGTCATGCAGTTGTCAACACCTTCTAGCTAACCATAGGATGATTAGAGCAGTAGCGGCACTGCTTGTACATGTGCCGTTACGGAATATCTCTTCCATGATAGAGATGATTTTATCATTCACGTCGACTACTTCCCATTGGATGAGCTGAAGAAACAATTCGAGGAACTGCTAAGAGCTTATCGGGATTATCAATCGCTCCCGAGAAATTCAAGTGGTGGAAACGAGGACGACGAAAACGACAATGATAGAAGGTTACAAAACAAAGCGGATCTTGCTAGGGAAACATTTAGAGCGAGCTTTAGGGACAGGCTCGAACAAATGCCGACTGTTCTTTCTTCTATGCCCTTCGAAAATGCTGTGGGGATGATGGTCGAGTGGGCATCACAGCTGCTTCCTCAGCAAGGGGGCCAGGAATCATTCAGTACAGTCGAAGGGTGCTCTGCACGGTTGAGAGAACTGACATCGGAGTCAGATGACTCCTTGTCCAATGCAGAGTCTCGAACGTGCTGGCCGTTCATCCAGAAACTGCGGGTGTACTTGAGAGCCTATATTCTGAGTAAAGGACTCATCATCGCGGACCTTCCAGGACTCCGCGATCTCAACTCCGCTCGCAAGGCTATTACCGAGCGTTATGTCCGACAATGCCACCAGATATTCGTCGTCGCTAAAATTGATCGAGCCATCACGGATGAAAGCATTAAAGAGATTTTCGAACTAGCCAGTCGTGCTAACCTGTCCAAGATCGACGTCATTTGCACAAGGTCGGAAGAAATCCAAATGAGGGAGGCAAGGCATGACTGGTTATCAGAAAGAGCAATGATAGAGGATATGCAAAGGGAGATCGACGCTGACATAGACGATATCAACTCTCTCAAGGAAGAAATTGAGGAATATGAGCAAGACCTCACAAACCTTACTCGGGAAGAAGAGCAGCAACTCATGCGATTGCAGCAGGATTGTCGCAAGGCTGAGAAATCCAGGGAAAAACACGAATTTGAATTACTTCGCCATATCGTCAAATTGCGAAACGACAAAGTTTCCGACCGCTTACGGGAGGAATATCGGAACCACCCAATTGCCAAAACGCTGAAGACATTCTGCGTCAGCAACAAAATCTACTGGGAGAATCGCGAGAAGCCTGCTACGGCCGCTCTGCCTTTTCTTAGGTTGAGCGGTATCCTAGAGCTACGACGCCATTGCATCGGAATCGTTGCGGAGAGCCGACTTCGTGCAACCAAAGGATTCATTAAGGACGAGATACCAGCTTTCCTTGGTTCTGTTGAGCTGTGGGTCGAGGCGGGATCCGGAAATGCAAGCGCGGAGAGGAAAGAAGAGATCCTTGATACTGTGTCCGCTATACAGCGAGAATTAGATGAGGTACGCTGCTTACGCTCTCTTTGATGCATTTGCGACCGTCTTCGGTATTACGGAGGTTTATCATCGCACGAGTAGACTCGGCTCAAGCCTATTGGCTAGCATCTAACCCCGTATCGGTTTGGGCTGGGAGTGAAGTGCGAGTACGATCACGCTCAAATGGCACTGCTGATTCGAGCTTCCAGTTAACGTCTCCAGTCTCTCAACTCAATGTCCTATCGCGCACTTTAGGCGAAGAATTCAACAGCCAAATCCACCTGCGCATGAGTACGTACAATCTTAACAGAGTTGACTTCAATATTCACTGGCTGCAGGACGAAGTGGTCCGCAATGGACGGCCGACGCCAGACAAGCAAGTTTGGATTGGCAAGGTGTATGTGCGTCGGTTTCAATCGGAAGACGCGTTCGCTGATTACGTCACAGTGGCATCATTCGTCGTACAGAGCCTTCTGCTCCCACTATGGGGAACATGCAACAACGAAGGTTGAGTATCGTTGCTGGAATGAAGAAGCGATGGAAGGTATGAAGGGTGATATGTCTGCTGTCTGGGACGGTTTCGCGGTCGACTTGGAGGCTCATCTCGAGAGGATCAATGGTGCAGTTGTTCAAACTTTTGGAAACGCCCTTGGTGTTGCATTGTCTGCAGGTACAAATAGACCTGGTGCAGCAAACAACGCCTGGTCCGCGCTGCGAACCCTTGCTAATACACTTGGCCATCGAAAAGACCTCACACTCTATGGCATCGAGAAAGCGAGTGAGAGCTTCCATTCAGAGCTTTTATCCCTCCACACTGATGCCTTCTCGTCCATCCGAACGGCTTTCATAGGCAAGCTCATGGAAAACACATATCACGCAGCGAACATGGAATATGGTAAGCCCGCTCCTCCTTTTCAAGCATTACCACAACTCCTTCTAACACCTATACCTAGGTTCCGGCAGCGACCGACGCCGCAAGAACCTCATCACAGGCAAATTCGGCTCCCCGTCGCTCTTCAACGACCATCGGCATGACTGCAAAAAAAGGTTTAGGCGTATTGCGAGTGGGCTGCAGGAAAAGGTGGACGAGGTTGTAAACCAGCAGGTTGGGCTGGTTGAAGCCGATTTGCAGATGCTGAGGGATGAGAATGTGGTGCTAGAGAGCGAGAGGGATCCGGAGTTTAGGAGGAGGGTGGAGGTTGAAGTGGAGAGGGTTAAGGGGGAGGTAGACAGGATTGGGCGCATGGTTGAAGATGTTTCATGAGTATGTATCCGTTTTCTTCTAGTAGCAAATCGTGGAGTAGGAATTTCAATCTTGCGAAATCTCATAGAGATAGAGTTCTTATAGGCAATCAAAACTTAACCAACGCTGTGACTAACACGCGAGGCAACAACTAAAGACAGTCAGCCTATGAGACCTGCTGATAATAAGTTAATTTCAGATCTGCTACAATAGGGAGAGGCGAGGAGTCTGTGGGAAAGGTTCTGCTCTATTGCAGAAGACGCAAGTACAGTACGGCGCGTTACAACGGAGAGTACACTTCAGCATAACTGATCTTTAGCACCTTCCATTTGATTTCTAGAATCTTGTAGTTCTTATAGCCGCTCATAGACTTTAAGAGTGAGCGGAGTGTATAAACTAACGAACGTACTACTACAGACTATCCATTGGCTTTTCCCGGGGCACCATATGTATAGGTAAAGGACTATGTTGGTTGACTTCAGCCGTACTTCGCAGACCTGCGCTGATGAGCCTTCGGACACCACCGAGAAACCTATTCTCTTCTACATCGCAGAATGAACCCCCTAGAATCGGCAATGTCATCGCCGTTACCACCCTAGCCACCCAAGCCTACAGAATTTTCTCTTGCATGAGCTGAGAAGGGGGAATATGGTAAGCGAGTCGACAAGGTATTGAGATCCAAACAAAGTTGATTGTACGAGTGGATTGTAAGGTCTAAGGAGCTCTGGGCTGACTCTATACTATACGAGAAAGGCGCTGGTCCTAATGAGTGAATAGTGCAGTACATAGTATGGTATCGCGTGAGACACGTGCGACATTATCATGACAGTCCCCAAGAGTACAAGCACCTGCTCAACAACCGGTCCACGACGCGCGTTATACTCAAGCAATTAGCTGAGTTCAAGCATATGCTTACAACAGATTAAGAAGAAAATTTCGGGGCCGCGATACGGAGTTGTGCAGTAGATTTGAAGCACTTACAAGGGTTTGCTAGGAAGAACAAGACGAGAGCGGCGGGTGGGGCTTGTAGGTCTGGGGAGAAGAAGAGGTTTAGCTTCTTTATTATGTCTATAGAAAGTGTATCGATATAGTCGCATACCGTTTATTTACACAGTAATATAATAGTCGTTATATACTAACGTTAATTTTATCCCATTTCACAAAAAGAGAATATATTTATCTTCGCTTATTCCCCTCTAGGGCCCACATGCTAGTTGGCCTAGAACCATGATTCTCCACTTACCAGGGGATGAGAGATGTTTGCGATTAGCACTGGCGTATATACCTAGAGCCAGGGCTGACGCAGCCTCGGCCTGGTTGCGGTGGTGAGGAAAGGAGAAAGAAATAGGAGGAATCAGTGTCAGGGCCCGATTAGGTTACACTTGCCGGAAGATTAGAACAAGATGACTACAGAGGTGTAAAAGTGGGATTATAGATAGCGAAAGTAATCGCGAAGGTCCCCAGAAGGCGTTTGGGGGAGGACTTGAATAAAGTAGAGGGAGGCTATTCTAAAGTATAAGAGTCAAAAACTGCCTGGAACAAACCTTACTAAAGCTGGCGGATTGTTAGGTCCACACAGAAATTGTATTAACAATGTCACAGCCCCTGCAAAAAGAAAAAGAAGAAGAAGGCGGGGGCTAGGAATCCCGTGCAGGATTTTACAGAGTGAGTTTTTTATTAGTGGTCGGAGATGAGATGGGGGAGCAGGCAGGCAAGTCGTAGAAAGGCATGGTCCGCTTGGCAGCAGAGGTCTTGCATGAGCTGAGAAGGGGTCATAGGGTAAGCGAGTCGACAAGGTCTTGAGGTCCAAACAAGACGAGTTGTACCAGTGTATTGTAAGGTCTAAGGAGCTTGAGAGAGCTCTAGGCTGACTATATACTGTACAAGAAAGGAGCTAGTCCTAATGAGTGAATAGTGCAGTACATGGGTATAATATCGCGTGAGACACGTGCGACAAGAGGTGCTGTGTTGGCACAAAAGGATTACGGAAAAGTGTTTGCAGTGGTGACACTCGGATGCGTCGTCACCATAGTCGCACGATAGTCGGATGTGTCGTCACACGATGATCATGCGTCGGCACCATAGTCGTATGCATCTCAGCACAGTCTGTTGCCACGACTCACCCACTTATTTCGCATATATATAGACTCCTGCAAAGGACTCCTCTAGCAATACATTCAATGCAGTTCCTCATGTCTATGGTGCCCCACATAGCTTCACAAAAAGAGATTAGAAGGACGCTAAGCGCAGGACTGCATTAAATCTAAAGAGGGAGTTCCTAGACAAAGATTACATAGTATTTGTAACAACATTAGCGTTATTATCTTTAGAACTGCGAGTTAAAACTAGCTGAAATCTTACTAAAGATTGCTATAAGTATAAGTATAAAAACTATAACATATCTAAGCTCTACTATTAGTTAGTGTAGAGATACTAACTATAGAGATAAAAATATAATTTTTAGTCTTTTAAGATAGCTTACTATGTATATAAGCTAGAGCATAGATATCTTACTATTTTTATATTAATATAAGCGTAGCTGTATAATAAAAACTTTATTAAGTTGTATTTAGCAGCTTAGAGATAATTAGGCTTAGTAAGTGGGTTTTTACTAGTATTTTTAGGTGATCGCTTGCATAGAAAGCACTCTATATAAGCTTTAAAGTAATAACATGTATGTTATACTTAAAAACTTTATTGTTAGTTCCCTTAGTTAAAAGCTAGACTAGGAGTTATCTAATCTTTACTCTATTAAAGTATGAAAAGCTACTTATACTACGTAAAGTTACTACTAGTTATATATCAACTGCTCGCTCCTTTGTGCGATTAAACTCTTCTACCCCTTATTTTAACTTAGTAACACTTAGATCTAGTTAGAAGAGGGGAGGGTTTAGACTTTAAATCTGAAAATTCAAAGAAATAAAACTTTGCAAAGGGAAATAAAGGAGTATAATGTTTAAGGGTAAGTTTTAATTGATTAGGAATACATTTCTAATCTTATCGCAAAATAAGAGCTTCTATTCCAAAAGAGGTGTAAGGCGAGGCAGAAGAACAGGACGAAGGAAGAAACGACAACGAACTAAGAGGAGAGGAAAGCAGACAGATTATTGTTACACTACTGGGTCTCTAACTGTGTACGCCACCTGGACGCCAGCCGTATCTTCCATTGCTCCATGGTTCGGTCACTGTATCGATACACCTTCCCCGAATCCTACCAGGATGGAGCATGTCATCCAAGAGCATTGGTACTGCGTCATGTCCAGCCGTATTGTCGTAGTCCTGGGGTCTAGTTGCATTTTGCGTAATTTGAGGAGCTCTTTGTATCGCTCAACAATGTCTACAAATTTCTGACTGCCACTGGCCGCAATACCTTCCAACATATGTGAATAAGAAGCTGGAAGGACAGTAGGAATAGCGTTGTTGACATGTAGATATACAATAGCGCTCTGCTGGCAGTAATCGTCTCTTAGCTGCTGTGTGTCCTTAGTTGTGCTATATCCGTCGGCGTCAGCGTGGTGGAAAAACGATGGTATCTTCGGCGTACCACTGCCGACGAACAACAAAATATCATTGTTGACGATATTCTATACGACTGGGAACTGGCGAAGTTTTTGGACCATAGGTTTTTCTAGATTGAGAGGGTACTTCAGACGATCCACCGCATGGTCCCACGTGACATTCCCAAAAACGTTCATAGCCACCGGCTGGGCTTCTAGGTGCATAGTCGCAAGACCCTTTATCAACGATCGGATATAGAAGCCGGGAAGATTCCCGATCGTATCTTTTATATTGGGGAACAAGCCCCCTACACCCGCGCCAGATATGTTCAATTCGGAAGCGTATGTTGCCTGCATTATCGCAGCCCACCGGGTCGCGATAGAGCCGCCGGAATAACTGTACATGACGACTTTGGGCCGAGGTGGGTCGTAGAGCATAGGTTTGGGGATTCCAATGGCGCAGATGGTACTAAGTGTCGCGCGAATGGAGTCGAGGGTGGCGTAGCCCGCCATGCGCCCTGCGTCGAAAGCGGCCGTTGCGCCCTCGTAGTCAGGAAAGTTGACGAACCATCCTTGCTCGAGATATGCCTTGATGTATTCCTCGCCTTGACTGATTTCTTCCGGCAGGTTGAAGCCCCCGATGTTGATCATATAGGTGTCGTTATGGATTATATATATAACTCGGGCTATCATTAACGTCGGCGGATCGTAGTTGTGCTGGTAAGAGACGAGGGCATGGGGATTAGAGATGTTTTTGGAACAAACGCGGTGGTAACAGCGTAGGTAGGCTTCTCGTTACTGTCAGTTGTGCGATAAAGAATGCTGAGGGTCCGGTAATCGTCGACGGGGTTACCAGGGACTGTGCGGACTTTGAGAACTGAGCCAGGTTTCTTGGTCTCCTACTCTGAATATGGATCTGGCAGATAGAAACAATCCTCGTTCGGTAGAAGAGGAATGTTTGTGACATTTTTACACTCCGTTGAAGTTGAGAGTGAGGGACTCGCAGTGAGAGGCCAGGGTTGTTATCGATCACGTGATCGCAAGTAATCAATGCGATTATCGCAATTAAGCGCGATTAAGGATCTCACGATTGCCATCTAATTACATTCTAGATATTGCACAACTACTATATAAAAATTAATAGCTTAGAATTAAGAATTCTACTTGTTTTTCTAGTGTTTTAAGCATTCTATTTGTTTAATTACATTTGCAGATAGCTAAAATCTTTTCTATAAGATTATACAACTTGTAGTAGAAAAAATGCGTTTAGGCATAGCACTTATAGCTAGAATTAATAAAATATTAATTGCTATATATAACAACTATAGCTACTAGTGTTATTGCTTTTCTTTTAGCTACTAAGAGAGAGCTGTTTTAAGTTGTATAATAAAAAATAGGTTTTTTTAATAAAGTCTTTAAGCCTTTTTACACTTGCTAGGTGTAAAAAGTTATTAAGTATGTGACGGCGCGTACCGCGTCACATGCTCTGCGGCATCAGCTCTCTCGCTTGCGCAACAAGTAGCACTTTGGTGCAACGAGTAGTGCCTTGGAAGGGGGCACACATGTATATTTAAACTCGCAGAGCAGCTCCTCTGCTCCTTAGTTTAATCTAGTTGAGTTACACCACCTCTTGCTTGTAGCTTGAGCATGCCGACTGTGGAAAAGTATTTCTTAATAGATCTAATTATAATTATTAGCTAGCTAGCTTACCTTCTTATTATATAATGCAACTAGTTAGTGTAAAAGTAGTACTTTATCTTTATATAGCTTTTATAGCTTCTTAACTAATTTAAAGGCATTTTATTACTACTGCTTTTTCTAGGTTCTTTAAATATATTATACGCGTAGATTCAGTTAAAAAGAAGACCTGCTATATAGATTAAAGTCTAGTCTATTAATATATAGTACTTATTAAATAATAGCTAGCTTGAATAGATCTATTAATGTATTTTAGAGTATTTTTATTACTATACCTACTATTAATAAGAATTTATATAAAATAAAGTATACACTATTAATTTCTAATACAACTAAATTAGAACATTTATTAAGATAAAAACTAAATTAAGAGTTAATAAGTCTTCTAATATAAGTAAAGTAGCTCTTTAAAAAGGCGTAAGAAAAGTATAGATTATATAAAGCTTTTTCTAATCTGCTATAAAGAAAGTTTTGTTTAATGTCTTAGTATACTTATAAATGTATAAATTAACTACATGCATTTTATTAAAAGTAACTTAATTATTTAGTACTAGCTATTCTAATATGTCTAATTATCTAAGAGTATTATGTGCTGCGTGTACTTCTTAAAACTTGCTGTATCACCTAAGAAGCTCTAGATATAGATAATAATATTATAATGCCTATCTAAAATACTAAGCTTTTAAATTACTAAATTCTATTTTTAATTAGTATTATAGCTTTTATGTAATATAATATTATTTACGTGTTGTAACTCCTGCTAACTATAGTTATAGAATAGAAATGCTTAAATAGTAAGGTTAATACTATACATAGTGCATTATACATGCTTTTTAACAGAATCCTAAGTAATATTTTAAGTTTAAAAGTGCTTACTTATTATACAATAAAAAATATTATTCCTACTTATATTATTACTAATAATTAAGCTAAGCATATTAAAACATTTATATTAATTTAAGATAGTTAAAAAAGCATTAAATTATTTATATCTAGTGTAACAGCGCAGGCAAGACAATGGGTCTGAATGCGGTATGAATCCACTCAGAGGCATATGGGAGGGCGTGGGGACTCAGAGACCTGGGAATACTAATGACACCTATAGGCCTTGTACGTAGGATTCATACCGCATTTGGACCCATTGTCTTGCCTGCGCTGTTACATTATATTAGAAAACTTGCTTTTGCTAGTAACAGCCTTATTAATAATATTGCATTAATTGTTTATTTAACTACGTCTAAGTTCTAAAAAGCGTTTAATTTAGTTTAGGTTGCAATTTCTTATACACTGTTACATTAAATTATTTAGTTAGTACAGATAGAATCCTAGAGACTTTTTATTAACTAAAGCCTTTAAGTTTAGAACTTCTTATCCCTTATAATTAGAATTGCCTTTAAAAAAGTTATAAAAAGTGCGCTAAGGTAGAAACTTAAAAACTACTAATAACCTATTAAGATTAAGGATAACTACTAATGCTTAACCCTTAACTACTATTAGATCCTATTATAAGGACTGCAACCTATTCTAGCTGCAGCTAAGGCAAGATGCCTGCCTCTAGAACTAAATAACTATCTACTTTAACAGCTAAACCCTCTTTTATAGAACCTAAAGCTAAAGACCTACTAAATTTAAAGTTAAACTATAGCAATATAGCCCTTAAAAACTAAGTTGTGTGATGACAAGCACTGTCTCTACTACTGTATGGAGCTGGGGAAGCAAGGCAGAGTAGGTCGGCTCTATTTTAGCTACACTAAGATAGAGAGGAGAAAGGGAGCTTTAAGGGCAGCTCTGCAGAAGAAGTGCTTGCAGCGCTAAGGCGCTAGTAAGGACGCTAGCGCTAAGCAAACTAATAGCGTTGCGCTAGTTACACCCCCTATATCCTAATTAGCTGCACAGGCAGCTTGTTATGTGAAGCGCGACAGAGCTCTCTGCGTAGGACTGTCACATCACCCCCTTCTAAGGCAGTCTTATCCCTAAGACTAGGTAGTTTAGCGCCTTTATGTTAGTCTTTAAACTAGTTAAGACTCTAGTGTAGGTTAATTATTAACCTCTATAAGTTTTATATTCTTACCTTTTTTATACACTTGCAACTAGGCGTCTAGTCGCGCTAGTAGACTAGGCTTAGTAGGATATGCTTAGTAGAAGTCTCTTACCTTATGCAGAGCTCTAAGGAATCTGTTAGCATTATACTAGGTAGGGTTAGGATTATAGCCTACCCATAAGGCTTAGTATTAGAGACGCCTGCGGTAGACACAACTATCTAGGATGTCCTAAACCTACTACTTAAGGTAACTGTTAACCTTAATTAGCTCCTCTAGGGGCTTAACCTAACCTAGCAGCGTTGTAGGTGCTGCCTGCTGTAAGCAGTTTGCGTAGAAGATGTTGTGCATCCTTATGTACAGGGGGAGCTTAAGCTAGTACAAATAACCTCTTATGCCTATAATTAGATAGGGCCTGTACATCTGCTAGTTAAGCTTCTAGCTAGAGCGCCCTATAGTAAAGCCCTTAAAGGTTATGTATACCTTGTTACTTACTATAAAGTTAGGCTTATGCTACTTTTTATTTACCTAAGCTGCTTACTGCTTTTAAGCTTAAGTAATGCTTTTCTTTATAATCTTAATTACTTATTATACAGTGTTATAGTAGAGCTTAGCATAGCTTTAAGCCTTTTTATGTAAAATCTACTCTAGCGTAGTTAGTAAGCGTCTTATACGTGCCTTCTAGTCTTAGTAGTGTGTTAGATAATAGCTAAACTTAATTTTAAATAGTAATAACCCTATTATTTTATGCAGTAAAAATGCTTAAGCCTAGTCTATGTAGGGCAGCAGGTTTAACTAGTTATCTTAGAAGTAATTAATAAATAAACACAGTTGCTAGTTAATATACTAATTTAGCACCTCTATGTTACTATTAGTTTAGAGATAGTAGGGCATAAAGAGCTTTTATTTAACACTAGTAAAGCAGTAAAGCTTGTCTATAAATGCAAAGGTAAACTATAGTCTACAGTTAGAGACAATTAATTAAGAGGGTCTATAGACGCGCTAGATATAGCAATAGTATAGGTCTGCAGCCTCTACAGCAGTAATAGTCTTATAGCACAGCAGTAAGAAGCAGCACTTACTTAGACAGTCTACTATAATAAACACATTATTATAGCTAGCTTAATTAAGTAGGAATAACTTAAAATTTATAAAAATGTTTTACTATGCTTACTTAGGTATTAGCAGCAGCTTAAAAAGCCCTAGGGTCTTATTTTAAAAGATATAGCTCTACTAACAGGCCTTATAAGCGCTAATGTAGGTCTTAATATTCTAGCTTATGCTTAGCTAGTAGTACTGCTTATGCAGTAGCTTAGTTGTTTTTCTAGTCCTAGAATGTGCAGTAAGTTGTGTTACATAAACAGCGCAGATAAAGTAGGTCCTTAGGAACTAGATAGCTAAAACTACAAGCTTTCTTTTCTTTAGTAGTAAGCCCTTAGCATTAATCTTCTATTATAAGCTAGAATCCTGCGCTTTATTATAGCAGTATTATAAGCTTTTATAATTTTAATTAGCATCTAGAATCTAATTAATAAGCTTATATAGTTAATTTATTAGCAGCAGCTTTATAAGCTTCTTATTTAGCAGAGAGGTGCTCTACAGGGCAGCGTGTAATTAAGTAATAAGACTAACACTAATCTACTTCTAGCTTAAAAAAGAGTGTGTATAAGTAGCCTTATCTTTTTTTTTTTATGTTTTAAGCTTCTTTTACTTTCTTAATAGCACATCTGCAATAACATTAGCAGTGCCTAGGCAGTAGGTTAGCATAAGGTTAAAGTCTGCTATTAGCATAGCCTATTACATCTAGTAAGGAGTAAGCTTACGCTTAACAGTAAAGTACTTAAAAGCTTAGTAGTTAGTAATTACTATAAACAGCTTATTTTATTATAAGCTTATTAGCTGCACTTACTACTCTTATAAGCCTTAAATAACTATAAGCATTTTTTTATTATGTATGTTATAGTTTATCTGCAGCAGGCTTATAGTCTTAGAGTAGAACGCTATAGAGCGCTAGATGCTGTTGTCTTGCAGCTATAATAGTACTCCTGTAACAACTCTATTGCTTATGTTAGTCTTTATATGCGTCTTATAATCTAGCAAGTAGTGCGTAAAGATGTTGTTTAACAGCATAAAGTTTTTAGCGCGCTTAAACACAGCTAACTTATGCTCTTCTAAAGAATGCTAGGCGCCACACTTAAGCAGCTTTGTAAGCAGCTGTATAATGCAACTATAGTTCTTAAGGAAGGCGCAGTAGAAGTTGTAGAACCCTAGGAACAACTGTAGGCTCTTAATTAAAGTTAGTATAGGCTAGTCTTAGACAGCAGCTACCTTAGCAGAGTTCTTATAAATTCTGTTTATGC